TGCTTAATATGACGTCAGAGTTCAAATTAGCTCTGATTGCGTATGACAAAGACGCTGACGAGCGTCCCAGTTGCATGCACGCAAGTACCGAAAAGCTCCGCGTTCCTTGATAGGCAAGAATTACTTATGATGACGTCACCTAGTTAGTGCGCGTGGACGCCGGTGGCTTCGCATTGTCGCTTTATAGCGAGCGTTTCACGACCCCTTTCACCGCATCAAAACGGTGACCTCACGCGGTTTCACTGTACCACTGTGAGAGGAAGGTGGGAGAGCTAAAAGGTTCGTTCTTGTAGTTACTTTCATCTGTTGATATGTTGCTTGCTCGGAAATACCGCACTCATCGCCGCTCCCACGACCAAATCATTTTGAAATCGCCGTCCTTAGTACAGTCGACAGATTTAAATATAAGTGCTTCTTGCCTTTTAAGAAACTATAGTATAGACCCTTTCACTGTTTTGAAATACAAGCCCTTGATGACATCCGCTTTTGTCCACTGCTGTGCTTTCTATAGCATCGGTGGGTACAAGAAAAGCGTCAGAAAGTAGCCCGCTGATTTCCTACATTTTCCTTTCAGTATTTGCCAAAACGTATTCGAATTAATGTTCTTTTGAGCTACATAAAAGCTTTACGAGATTTCCTTGAACGTTCCGCACGTTCTTTTTATTTGAAAAACTAATAGAAGGCTTTCCATACCCTTGAAAAAAAAACGTGAACGTCCTTTCAGTTTCGACTTTAGGAGCTGGTAAATGAGGTGACCGGAAGTTTTGTTGGGGCACGACGCTTGCAATCTTAAAACCGTCTATAGGCCTGCATTCCATACTTAGCGGGCGATCTACGACAGTATATTCTTGCGTAATGGCATTTTTCGACGGGCCAGAACTGCAAGTGAAACCATATTACGCAACACGTTTTTGTTGATTGTTAAAGCTGATGTGCAGGAGAGTAAGTGGTGAGAGTAATAAATATAAAAAGAAGGTTTTGGTTTTTTTTTAATTGGTCATGAGAAGTTTCGTCTGCAAGCTCTTTTTATTAACTTATCGCGATTATATCTTTTTGTATCAAAGTGTCAATGATATAAGATTTATGAGTTTTATAAATAAGAATGCTGAAAAAAGCAATGCGGAATTCTCACCGCCCTGGCATACGTACTTTTTGAAATAAAGGCCTATACAGACTAAGCAAAAAGCCAACTTTTTAGGTCAAGTTTGAGATCTTTCATTTAAAACACCTACACTATGCAGAGAATCGCAATATAATTGAGCGTAAGCACAAGGACGCCTACATTTAGTTTAAAAAATTCGAGGAACGTAGCTTCACTCGATTTGGCGTAATTCATCACAAAAGAAGAAAAAAAAACAGCAGAGCAGGTAAGCACGGCACTCTACTTCTTCGTCATTATTGAATTACTGCGCTTCTAAAAAAAAACTTTTTCCGGCAAAACCAATTGCGAATCTTCTTTCCCATCACCAGGCAACAATATATCAAATTTTGAGAGAAATTTAAGAGGTCACCTACGTGGAATCACCAACTATCCATTTCTACCTCGACAGCTAAAGAGAGGAGGTTCAAGAGGGCGTACTTCGTACAAATTAAGGTGCAATCACATGTGCCTTTAACAGGCACCCAGATTTCGGCTCATGCAGGTAGCATGAAAATCTATATATATCTATATAATCTTATATCTATATAATCAGAATACATTCGCAAGTAAACGGGACTTTTAAGACAGCACGCTAACGTTGTCGAACGAAGCCAACGATAAGAAAAAAGATTACATCTTGTCCAACTAAAGGGGACTATGTGTAAACGACAGGCGCATAGCAAGAAATTTTCCCCGAGTGGTGGGGAGGCACCACCTTGATTTTAGGAGGGGCACCCCCTTGAAATGGCCATTTTTTGCTCTTTATGCCATGGCGGAAAAAATTTCGGGTTGGGGGGGGGGGGGCACGTGCCCGGTGTGCCACTACCTGGCTACCCCCCTGGTAGATGACAACCAGCGGGTGCTAACTCTTGCATTGGTGGCGTTGTGCAGGCCAGAAACCTACAGTGCTTGACCGGTGTTTCCTACTGGAACATGTCAATCGCTGCTAATGGGCAATCGAAAAACAGACACAGAGACCCACAGTGCGTTTCAAACGCGAAAGCATTTCTTGGTCAGGCTATATCAGGCATCCGGCGTTGTCCGTGGCACCACTCTCACTCCCTCTCACATAGCAACAGCTGCGGGCGCGCGCGCTTATCCTCGCCCCATGCGACCGGAGCATGTGGTGTGAGAGAGTGTAGGAGAGGGTAGGTGAAGTGCCTGGCCGCTGCTTCTCTCGCCATTCGCTCTCTCTCCTTGCTGCGCACCACTTTTTTGTTAACGACGCGCACACCGCGAATTTCTTATTGTTCAACAGCGCACAGAAGAAATTTCCCACGGTCAATATATTGGAAGTCAAGATCTGGGGCGCATATATATATATATATATATATATATATATATATATATATATATATATATATATACTTGCATACAGGGTGGCCAGTGAACGGTTGTGCAGCGCGAGCAGTCGGTTTTCTCGATCAAGAAACTCGCTGGCAGCTGCTGCCTGCGTCACCGTATTGAGGGGGGGGGGAGCGCCGGAGAGGAGGGTGCGCGCATTCGCAATGGGGGTCCAGACCCAACAGGGAGGGATGCCTAGAGAAGAGAGAGGGGCAGTGAGCGTGGACTAGCAGACGTTGTCGGCGTTGCGAGGCAAGATACGCGGGAGTGTAGGCCATGAGAGAGGGGGGAGAGGACACGCACACGCAGAAAGGATGGTCACGCCGCACACCGGATTGATCTCGACTACAGGACGCTTCACAGCTAAATAAAAATCAAGTTATCTCCCGCTAAAGGGTTCCATGTGTGGATGCGAAGTAGGGAGACTTCATGTGGGCGCCGCCTCCGTTTTTTCACAGAGGCGGCGCGCACATGAAGGCTCCCTAATGCGAAGCAGCGGGTAGGTGGTGAAAGGCACCCACAGACGCTGGTCTTTGTCGTCTTAAGCTGGTGCACTAACATTCAGAACCTCTACCTGACTGACGGTGCCGGTGACCACCGCTTGATGCCAGTGACAGCTGCCATGAACGCTGCCAGGGGCCATGCTGAGCAGCGGATTTCTCAATTCACACGCCTGAGACATTCAACGTAATCCCGTGCTAACCAAAGCTGACGACCTCTGTCTCACGGTCACGTGTAACGCCGCAAGACCGACGATCAGTGGCTACGAAGTAAGCGTGTATACTGAGGGAACATTTCGTTGCCCTCGCCACCGACTCGAGAGAAGGAGGGGAGAGAGAGAATTGCATGCGCTTGGGGGTGTGGACACCTCATTACTGAGGAATGTTTAGTTGCCTTCACCGCCGACTGCGAAAAAGAGGGGGAGCGTAGGAGAGAAAAGAAAGGTGCAGCGGGATTGCAGTTTGTGATTCCAGGGGCCACATTTCGACGTGATCCCTTTAGGGAATATTGGCGACATTGACGTGATGTCAGTTCGCGCTGATTAGCTGTTGAAATAAGAAGGTCAGCTAAGAGGCACTACTGCCGAAAGTAATCGGGATATTTGTAAAGCAAGAGCGACTGAGTAACACGAAAAAAAAGTGGCATATGTTTTTTTTAGTTATTGCTTCTCAAGGTCGGAGAAATGCCATAATTCTGAACGATTGCCATTACCATCATACCAGAACTCCCAATTACACGGCGCGTGCGCGCGTGTGAAAAAAAATCAAAATGTGCTGTGTGTCGTGACAACCGGAATAGCCATTACTCAATTTCAGTAAGTTTTACCGTAAGTCATCACTGCGCGGTGATGAAACTGACAAAAGCCGTTTCACGCGCCTATAGCCACGCCTGTAATATCGGGAAGATTGCTCAGAGTTCGGGTGTCTTCCGGACGAATCGGGGAAGTTATCCCGCATGCGAGAGTGATCACCTCAATACCGTCAACGGTCAGCAAACTGCGGCGGCACCGGTTGCAATCAAGATCACTCAGGTGGCGCGGACGGTATCGACGTGTACGGTTCGCACTCCGGTCAGATGCATGTCTACAAAAGGCGGCGCAGGTGCAATTCCTCTCGTAATAGACACCACATAACTGTCAGTAGACGGCATAACGCATGGCTGCTGCGTTCTGTCGAAACGGCGATACATCGGAATTTCAAGAACATACTCACGAGGGCACGTAAAGAGCCTAAATAACTTATAAGCTGTATTCGTGGCTGCTGTAGTAACGAAACAGTTTCTCTTTACGTGGAAAGACTGGAAGTTAGGATGATCACACAACCTGAAGGAAACAAAAACACGCTTGCCAAGAAAATTCTGGTGTTACCTGACCTTAATTTATGCCATTCATGTCATTTGGGTTCCCAAGAATTTTATTGACAGCGACTTGTCGCCAAAGAATGACAGCATCTCAATACGAATATCGGAAGAACCGAAATATCGAAAGTAGGGACTACATAGACAACTTCCTGAGCAATAAAACGTTCCACCAAAGAGAAAACACTTTGTTGCCCTTAACGTCAAGCCTTGGTTGTGCTATGCTGTCCTCTCTTTAGAGTACTCAAGTGTACAAAGCCTCACTGGAGGGCCCAGGTGCCACTGCCAGTCAAAACAAAGCATGCCAGTGTCACTCGGTCACACTTACAGCCGCGCAGCCGCATATAGCTCGGCCCGCTTACTTTTGACCAAGAGTGTCACCCAAGTCATCCAACATCTCATCCACTCATCAATCAATTGATTGATATGCGGGGTTTAACTTCCCAAAACCACCAAATGATTATGAGAGACGCCGTAGTGGAGGGCTCCAGAAATTTCGACCATCTGGGGTTCTTTAACGTGCACCCAAATCTGAGCACACGGGCCTACGACAATTCATCAATCAATCAAATCGATTATTCACATGCCGATTTACCTCGCGCATTTCGAACGTGCACGGTACACCTATGAAAGAAGCCGTGAACTCAGCCACACTCACCATCGTAGTGCAAGCTCCCATTTTCAGTCCGGCTGATTCTGCTCTCCGAGGTGCGCTCGTCGTCGTAATAGTTGTTCCACGAGTGCGGCACGGGCCTCTTGCCCAGGATGGCGTGTAGCTTTTGCCAGTGGGGCCATTCCACCGGGTAGCCTGCACGGTCAACGAAGCTCCGGTCAGAGGTGTCCATGTGCACAAGACACGCGCGATCAATACAGCTATTGTCGCGCCGTGTCGCTATTCAGCGCGGCGACACAAAAGCAAACACAGGACGCCATACACACACGCACAATCCCGTCTCTGCAGTGATCATCTGCAAGAAGATAAGGCGACATTGCAGAGTCCACTGTGACTGGAGAAAGGCAACCAGGTCATGTGCAAAGGGCGAACTCGAAAGCGTTAAAGCAACAGAACATTACACTAAGGCCCACACGGCGGCATGTTGAGGTTACATTATATAGGCAAAGTCGGAAAAATGTATCTATTTTTTATCTGAGCTTTTAGAAGTTCGTCTGCGCCCGGCATTCGCGAGGCACATGCAACCTGACGCGTCATCGTATCACGCGAAGATCAGCCACAAGTCGGAACAAGATAACGTGTCACTTGTGAGCTCCCACAAGGGAATCTTATCGAAAAGCGCCCGGACCATTAGATGCGCGCGACTGACTTGTCTGCGGCATCGTTGGCGGCACTACGACTGTCACCGAGTCAACTTAAAGTGTGTTTTCAGTGCAGAGCCCCGCAACAGTCGCAAAAACATAGCGTAAAGTACGATGCGATGATTGCTTTAGTGGCTAAATCTTTTGAACGTACTACGTAATGACAGAAAAGCGTAAGACACTAAATAAGTCTTAAATTCTTTGAAAGGTTGTAGATTTGATCCCCAGACGCAACGAGTTGTTCATTCCCCGAAAACCTGTATACATCACAACCACTACACTTCAAGTAAAAATACAAAGAAAGTGTAATACGCTTTTCTTGGCCTCATTGTCTGTTGATCTCATTGGCTTGAATCTAACGAAGAAACCAGTAACTCAATCCATTCCCATTCTTTCGTATACATAGTAGGATCTCAGGCACAAGGAAACAAAAAAAGGGAGAAAAAAACTACGGGTACAAAAGACGGCCATACTGGCCCACTTTGCGTAAATTTTGACCAGCTAGAAAGAGAAAGAAAGAGAGAGAGAGAGAACAATGATAAAAAAAAACTTCCCGGAGATTCCAACCCGGTGGTTCATTGCCTGGCTTACAACTGCAGGTGTTGGGTGAGAGCAATGATGTGTGCAATGATCACGCATACACCCACTGGCTACGCCACCGATGATAACCGTTCATTACATTGTCTTTCACCACTGTACACACAATGCTGCAGCGGAACGTGACACAGCAGCGGTACGTTCCAGAAAGGCGCACCTCTTCGCTTTTTTTTTTCTGGTGCACATATTTTCAGTCTGTTTTTGGAACGTAACATCTGCGTACTGCTCGCTCTCGTGTTAAAGGGAAAAAATAATCATTTAACTTCTTTTTTGAGTTCTATCTTATGTATAACAGTCGCTCTAGAGAAGCAAGCGTACTCTAGAGATAATCTCTCCAAAGAGCCGCAATACTCGAGAGAGAGTTGACATTTACGACCACAATAAGCAGCGCTGGACACAGGACGGAGACGGAACGACGGGCCAGGGAGGTACAGGGGCTGCTCGTTGTCGTCCTAATCACGTACCGCACAGCCCAGTAAGGTGCTCTCCTAAAGTTAACGTGTCTCTATAGAGGGAGTACACACTTAGCAAGCCAGGAATCACGTAAAAGAGTAAAACGGGCGCCTTCTTTTTCCCCTTGATAACACACATATAGGCAAACATAAAGATAACGCCTTTAAACGTCAACCTCGCGAGTACACCTGCGGTTACCCACTCTCCTCTGCGACGTAGGAAGGCAGGCGTCAGTTTGCGGAGACCATTTTTCATTTTCACGCGCTATACAAAATCGCTGTGCCAAAACGCATACCGATTGCAAAACGTCGTTTTTCGCAAAAAAAGTGCAAATAAAATAATCACAGCATATGCACGGAGTGAATGATGATGAGTGGGGCGAAGCTCCGGAGGGTTTTGTCGGTAAACCGTGAATCATCTGCTCACCGCGTCTGTCTGTCTGCCCGTCCGTCTGTCTGTCTGTCTGTCTGTCTGTCTGTCTGTCTGTCCACCCGTCCGTTCATCCGTCCGTTCAACCGTCCTTCCGTGCATCCGTCCATCCGTCCACCTAGTGAACACTCCAAGTAACGCCTTCTCGCATCTTTTCATCAAATATTCATCATATACAAGTACCGCCATCTAGCGCACATTCAATGACTTGTTTTGGGAGGAGAGATGAGACGGTAGATGAAGAGCTCGTGCCATGGTCGCGGCTTTTATTTGGGACGCAGGCGTAGGCGGAGTCGCAGGTGCGGCGTCCAGCCAGGCCAGGAGCTAAGCCGTTCTGCATTCCTCATGGCTCGCGCTTGCAGAGCCACGCGGCTCGCTTCTTCTTCGGCGCGGCCGGCTGGCCAAATCTAGCGTGGCGCTACAGACTAAAACGAGAGGTGGCTACGACATACAGGAGACGCACGAAGCACGCCCCAAAGAGCTTCGCTCCTAAGTATCATGCACAGGGAGTGAAGCCAGAGGGAGACCTTTCCTGCATTTTCGACAACCGCTTCTGTTCCGTGCCACAGCTGTGTGTTCCAGAAAACGTTGGCATCCGAGTGCAGTAGAAGCTTCTTGCACAGCCCCGCCGCGGTGGTCTAGTGGCTAAGGTACTTGGCTGCTGACCCGCAGGGCGCGGGTTCGAATCCCGGCTGCGGCGGCTGCATTTCCGATGGAGGCGGAAATGTTGTAGGCCCGTGTGCTCAGATTTGGGTGCACGTTAAAGAACCCCAGGTGGTCTAAATTTCCGGAGCCCTCCACTACGGCGTCTCTCATAACCATATAGTGGTTTTGGGACGGTAAACCCCACATATCAATCAAGCTTCTTGCACACTCGAGTTTCCTCTAAGCTTGCAGTCCCACCATTGCTCGCCGCACTTGTGTAAGCTGCTATTTAAGCAATATAGACGTTGTTCAGCCCGTAGTAAACGTCATCATTTCCGGCAGCAACTTCCTGTTTGTCTGTCTCTATGTCTGTCTGTCGGTATAAATGGAGGTATCGTCTCAAATAAACCACCTCCTACAAAAAATAACAATAGAAGGTGCTATCAAATTTATATCTGAAGAGTAGGAATAGCATCGATAAAGATCTACATACCTGCCAACTACCTACGCCTCAAATAGGAAGGCAAGCCTCAGATAGGGAGCGGTGGTGCAGGAAAATTTTATTAACATGAAAGCCTTTTATGCCAGAGTCCACCAAGACTTCTGTGACGTATTGCCCCGCCGCGGTGGTCTAGTGGTTATGACGCTCGACTGCTAATCCACAAGTCGCGGGATCAAATGCCTGCTGCGGTGGCTCCATTTCCGATGGAAACGAAAATGATCGAGTCCAGTGTAATTATATTTTAGGTACACGTTAAAGAACCTCAGGTGGACGATATTTCTGGAGTCCTCCACTACGGCATCTCTCATAATCATATCGTGGTTTTCGGAAGATGAAACACCAGATATCATCATCATTAATCATACAGTGACGTATTTCCGTCACAGATATGACGTAGTTATAATGCATCGCTAATCGATGGCCCAAAAAACACTATTTCAAGACGTTCCATCGACGGAAATCCGACCAGCGCACTCTCGCTCCGCGATAATGACCGCCCAGCGCTCTATCGAAGGGCTCATTAAGCGTCTGTAAAGCAATACGTACACGTACGCAGCTGCACGCCATGTTCATGATGATGATGATGAATATGAATCATGCCTTAGTGCTATGTAATGTGTGGGCCTCTGAAGCACCCAGCGATAGCAAAATTCTAATGACGTGACACCTCGTGCAATTCTCTGAAGCACCCAGTGATTGTGAAATTCAGATGGCGTGACACCTGGTGTGACTGATTGATATGTGCGGTTTAACCTCATAAAACCACCATATGAGTATGAGAAACGCCGTAGTGGAGGGCTCCAGAAATGTCGACCACCTCCCCCATCACCCTCCCATGCGCAGGGTAGCAAACCGGCTGCCTATAGGCTGGTTAGCCTCCCTACCATTCTTTTGCTCCTATTTTTCTTCCTTGGGGTTCTTTAACGTGCACCCAAATCTGAGCACACGGGCCTACAATATTTCCGCCCCCATCGGAAATGCCGCAGCCGGGATTCGATCCCACGACCTGCGGGTCAACAGCCGAGTACCTTAGCCACTAGACAACCGCGGCGCGGCCACCTGGTGCGGTTCTACGCTGCTTAGACGCAAAATTACACGTGTTAACAATACTCCTAGCAGTACATGACGTCTATAGACCAATATATTCGATGTTTGTAAACAGGGCTATAAAATAACCGTCGACATACGGAGGCCCTTCTGGCGACGTCGCTGGGCGTGGGCTCCAATCAGCCCGAAGCTCGCCAAAAAGAACCACGCATATCAATGCAAGTGACTAACGGCACATTTCCTTCTTGTGCATTTGAAAACTCAGTGCCGGCGGGCGCCGTTTGCGTTAGGTAGCGTTACACAATGACACACGCGTTTTCACACCCTAGAATGCCCAGTAGTGGATCTTCCAGCCGCCGCCCGTCGTCACATGCGTGGTAGTCATGTGACCCAAGCAGAAACTTCACTGAGGACGTCACTGCAAGAACAGCACGTCACTGTTTGTTCGGGTTCTGCAGCAGTAGTGACGCTGGAAAAACACTGACAACTGCTAATTGATGTGGATACGTCGTGCAAGCTCTACGGTTACAATACGTCAATTGCAACGTGCGTGATAAAGCAATTATTCGAGTGTACGGCGGCAATTATCAGTGAATAAACTACGACTTAGCCCGATTTACAACTTTATGGCCGCAAGCCCTCCATTCTATTTTCAGTATATATATATATATGCTGGGCAACTTTAACGAACTAGAAGTCAAACACATCTGTTAGTCCTAGCAAGCTACCCCGAAAGCCATATATGGACCAGAGCAGCACCCAGCCATGTCCTTCTTTTTCACCCAGCGGCCGCGACTCGGCTTTTAAATGTCCGAGAGCTG